AATAATATTTATATTAGATTATATATATTATAAAATAATTAATTTTAATTAAATTTCAATTCAATAATGTATTGTCATAAATATTGAACTTTTGATTACTAATCTTGATAATATTCAAATCAAGAAAAGAAATATAGAATTAACATCATTATGAAATTAGTAAATTGCAATTTCTCAATAATAAAATTATAACTAATTTATCGTTTATATTTGCATTTCTCATAAACAGTTTTATTATTTTTGAAAACTCTATTTTTAATTTAATGATTATTGTTTATATCATTGAAACTTGTTATACTTATGATGCTAAAATTTCCATTATATAAAAATAAATCAATATTAATATATAAATTAATTTGGATATTATTATAAGTAGACAATCATTTATTAAGATATTTGTAACTTTAAGGTTCTCAAATGAAATTATTTAAGCATTTCTCATTAATTAATTAAAGCTAATTAATCTTAGTTTGATAGTTGAGTATATTAATTTAAATAATTCTTAAATCCCTCTAAAGTATTTTGAATAAAAATGGAATTTAATTTCATTATTTGCTATTTTGAAACCACATTGGAATGTACAACATCTAAGTAAGTTCCAAGTTTAGAATAAGATATTTTGAATATCCAACTGATAAATAGATTTAGAAATATTAGGAGAATCTTATTTTATGTAAATGCATCTTCCTTTTCCTTAGTACAAATATTATTAATAATCAATAAAGAGAATAATAACTCAAGAGTTTCTGCTAAATTTCCATCTAAATAAATTGATCCACAAATCCTTAATATTTAAAAAATAAAGTAGAAATATTCTTGAACTAAAACTGGGAAATTGAAATTATTGTATTTTTTTAAGCTTCAATTTATATTGCTCATCCTTAAAAACCTATTTATTACTAAAATTACAAGTTTCAACTAAATTAAATATTTACATAATTTATTACTCTTTAAAAATGTATCCAAAAATTAGATCTTCTATGAGAATATTACTTTTTTTGAATTGTTGTTTTTCATTATCTATTGAATGGGCATTAAAGGCTGTTATGAATTCTTCTTAAAAGCAAAATAAATTAATTGGAGCTAATAGTTATTTTTCACAATTATTAAAATTAAAGCAATTAATTAAGCTTCCTAATTCTTAAAAAAAAATAGTCTTAAACATCAAAACCTTTTAAACATAGGTATGAAGCTCTTTATATATATCATGCTTAAAAAAAAGATTAATTAATTAAATTTCTTCTTATGATTCAATACTACATCATGCCCAATTTTTTTAACAGAAGATATGACCATTTAAATATTCGCATTCTAAACATGAATCAGGATAAGCTTTGATACAGATTTCATTTAGTAATTTATATCCTTTTGCACAAGAAGTACATATAATTTCATAATCATCTTTGCCTTCACTCTAGGCTTTATTGCCTCGAAGATTAATATTTTTATTTACATATATTTGCTATTAATCTTTTTTTTTTTTCAATTATTTATGAAATTTCTAGCTTTTTGCAAAATAAATTTAAGAATTCAAGAAGTCAATCATTAAAAGGAACTTTTAGGATTTAAGTAATTTTGAAAAACTTCTTTTGAGAGAAAAGGAAAAAATTAATTAACACAAAGCAGGGTTATCATGATTTATAATACAGAATTAATAGTAGCTAAAAATATTGAAATATAAAAAACCATATGATATAATAATTGTATCAAATTTTTCAATATTGTTTGGTTTATTACCTGCAGCTAATAATTAATAAAACGCAGATAGGCAAGAAAATAATTTAAATTTATTTTCTTGAAATTTTTAATTATCAAAAATTCATATTCAGTTTAAAAAAATAAAAACTATAATATTTTACACATTATTTAATACTTTCTGTATTGAAATAAATATTTTAAATGACTGAGTTTTAACTTTGCAAGAGGCTGTTTTGCTTTGAATAAAAATGGCAGGAACATGGTACAATAAATATTGAGGTTGAAATGTGGGATTAGATCAAAACCTAAATTACGAAGATGAAAATTTAAATAATTAAAACTCAAGATAATGAAATCATGTATTTAAATGATGGAGTAATTTTGAGAGTGTGAGAATATTTTATATTTTAATAATAGCTAATCACTACAAGATGTTTTAAATAATCCATAAAACTTTACTAATCTGGAGTAGATCTAAAACCTTCAATGGAAAAAAGAAAATGAAATAAACATGATGAAAATTGTGAAAAGTATGGCTTTTTGGAATGGAAAAGTTCTTAAAGATGTTGGTGGATACTTCCTTGATGGATAAAAATAGGGATTTTGGAGGGAAATAATTCATAATTATTGGAGGTAAATTCTAATATAAAATATTAAAATAGTTAAGCTGAGGTATATGTAATTGGAGAATACTTTAAAAACAATAAAGTTGGGGTATGGAAATACATATTTCATAATAACATAATGTTTATATTTATTAATTATTTAGTGGCCTTGGATAATATAATTATTAAGGTTAAAGAATTGCAAAGTGGATAGAGTTGAGTGATAGATTTTCGAAGTAATGATAACGATTAATATTTTAGTCGAAGTTAAATTACATATATTGGTGAATATTAAAATGGTTAGAAGATTGGTTTATGGGAAATTTGGTATAAAGATTATGAAACCAAAAGAAATAAATAAATGTAAGAATTAATCTATTCTATGTTATAGTGGTGGTGGATTATATGATAAGATAAATTCAATTAAGATTGGGAGGTGGATTGAAAACTGTAATAATTTTAGGGATTGTTCATAAGTTATTTATCAAGGTCAATACAAAAATGGTAAAAAGGTTGGTAGATGGGATATTTTATATAGAAATTAATAGAGTGAAGCATTTTAATAGATGTAAAATTATATAATTAAAATAAAAACTAAATTTAGTGGTGGGGGTTCATATGATGATTAGGTTTAAGGAGATTAAATTAAAATAGGAAGTTGGATTGAAATAAGCGAAGAATTTTATAAATGGTCGTAAGTCACTTATTAAGGAGAATATAAAGATGGTAAAAGAATTGGTAAATGGGAAATTTGGTTTAAAGATTGCCATAAAAATTAGAAAAAATTAATGTATAGATTAAAATATAATTCATGATTAGTGGTGGTGGATTCTATGATGATAAAAGCTCAACTAAAATTGGGAAGTGGATTGAATAAAATTTAAGGTTTTATTATAATTCCTAAGTTACTTGGACT